GCAGGAATACATAATCAATACAGAATCATTCCATTATGAAAGTTTATAAATTTGCAAGATCTCTATGTGTACTGTTTAAGGTTATAATTATCTATGATTTTTAAAAAACTGCATACAGTGAGTCCCCTACATACGAACGAGTTCCGTTCTGAGAGCGCGTTCATTAAGTCCAATTTGTTCCTAAGTCCAACAAAGTTAGCCTAGGTATCAACTAACACAATTGGCTATGTAGTACCGTACTGTAATAGGTTTATAACACTTTTCACACAGATAATACATAACAAACACAAAAAATAAAACATTTTTAATCTTACAGTACAGTACCTTGAAAAGTACAGTAGTACCAGCTATACCAATGCTGCTTTTACACTTGCTTCCGGACATCCTGGGCTTGAAATAAAGGTACTGTACTACTGTACTCCATACAGTGCTGTACAGTAAAGTATACAGAAGCACAACCACTTGTAGAGGATGCACGCACGTGACAATGTACGTCAGACACGTGAACTAACTTTAAGTGATTGGACACGCAAATGCATGTTCGCATCTTTTGAAAGTTCGCAACTTGAAGGTTTGTGAGTAGGGGACTTACTGTATAGTGAAGAGAGAGAATGTTTAACATATGTTTTGGAGTTTGGGGTTCAGAAGGGGCAAACAGAAGCTTCAGTGATACTGGTAATATTCTAGTTCTTGGAGCTGAGTATTTATTTTTCCTTAAAAAATATATGTAATATATATAAAAATATAAATAATATTTATGTAAACAAATTATATATAACCACTATAAATAATTATATATATTAGTATATGTAACCATATGTATAATTTATATATAGCATGCATGATTATGTATATATCAATCATACACCCTTTGGTATTATTTATTTCATAATTTTATTTTAATAAAATTCTAAAATAGACATAGTTTGGAACTGCTATTAAATAGCTTTATTTTGGTTTTAAATCACCAAGACAAATAACCTGGATTTTATACAGTTTTTATATAAGTCAAAAGAAATATAGAAATCATTTTATTGAGATTTCTATTAAAAATGGTTAAAGGGTTACTTCTTAGCTCTTTGGAAAACTTACCTGTCCAGAGTTACTCATTCATGAAGGCATTTGAATAGACTCTTATTTATAAAGTGTGTTTCTGTTTAGAAATTGAGCATGTGGATGATTTAAATAGTGACTGCCTATGGCTTGGGAGCTCCAAAATGTTGAATATTAGCACTTCTTTTAATGAACAACCTCTGCTGTATGGTTTTTTTCTAATAATTTATATGACCTCTAGGAGAGGTTAAATTGGATGACTGAATGAAAGGAAACCAGGATGTTGTCTTTTTATTTACTCAGTCATGGTTAGATGTTTGGGAGGATAATGTTAATCCTGAAGTTACCTTTGGAAGGTATAGTTAACTTTAGAGGCTTTGAACTTTATATTAACCTTTAAAATTTTAAACTTCTGAAATGTTGGTAAAGACATTGAATAAAATTTTAAGTATTGTTAATACTTTAGTTAGTTTAGATATGCATGATAATATAAAAAAAAAAAATGTGCTTTGGATGTAGTATGGAAAAAAAGCCCTCCAAGGATATGGGAAAAGATAATGGATTTTCTACACAAAGCTGCCTTAAAATGTCCATGTTTTACAGAGTCCAAAATTTTTTTCAGCTTTATCAGTTACAGAAATGTAAGTGATAGGGCAAAGTGTGTAATTCTTAAAAGCTGGGAGATGTACAACGAATCTGACATTATATATAAGTGCTTTGAAACTAGAAATTGTACTTCTCTTAAAAATGATTCTACTATAATATGTATTGGTAATAACTGCTAATACATTAAACATTCAAATAAATATAGTAGTACCTGTGGAAAATATGCTTAACTGTTTACATTTTATAATTTAAGCCGGGTTTGGCTGGATAGATTCTTATACTGTGCTGAAGATTTGGCAATGGAAAGGAGAAGTTTGTAAACCAGATATTAAGACATTCACATCTAAAAACTGATGCTTTCCACCTCAGACTATCATTTGGTACTTATTTTCTTGGAGAGACACAGTTGACATATAAAAGCTGTATGTTTTAAAATGTTACAGAAAAAAATTTATACATTTTATTAGCAAAATACCATTTGGTATTATGCTAAATTAAAAGGCTTAAGAATATTACTTATTTACTTTTGCACTTTCCACACAGTATCTGTTTTTCCTTCTTTTTGTAACTTCAGAGATAGAGCTGTTTGTGTTTTATCTTTACTTTTCTCTTTATTTTGTGCTGTGGGCTTTAAAAAGTAATAAACATTTCTTGCTGGTAGTCTCCTTCTCTTTGTTCTGCCATCGGAGGTGACGTGCAATGCTCAAGTTCTTTGTTGGTTGCCTTTGACTAATGCTTTTCAGCAGCCCCGGGCTCAGCTCCTGGTTCCCAGTATGGCACAATGACCAGGCAGATTTCTCGACACAACTCTACCACTTCCTCGACATCTTCTGGTGGATACAGACGGACTCCCTCTGTGACGGCTCAGTTTTCTGCTCAGCCTCATGTTAATGGAGGTCCACTTTATTCTCAGAATTCAAGTAAGCTTGTGCTTTGCAGGTGTAACGGCAGCAGTGGAGCTCCTTTTGAAGGAAATTATTTTAAATTGTTATTCTTGCCAGTGATAGACAACAATTGAAACCGTGCTATTTCATGTTTATTTTTGTTTTAAGAAGTTAAACCTTGGGGACTTCCCTGGCTGTCCAGTGGTTAGGACTCTGCACTTCCACTGCAGGGGGCGCGGGTTTGAGCCCAGGTTGGGGAACTAAGATCCCGTATGCTGCATGATGCAGCCAAAAAAAAAAAAAAGTTAGACCTTGAAGCATATCATTTTAAGAATAATTGCTTATCCCTTTTTAAAAAATTCAGGCTTACTGAGTATACTCGTATATTAAAATTTAACTGATGAAGTTTTTACTACTGTAAGTAAAACTAGAGAAGAAAACCACTGAAATTAATTAAGCTGAATATATTTTTATTGGCATGTTTGATACAGTTCAATAACAGTAAACTTAAAAACATTGTGACAGTTTTTCTTTACAATAATATAATGAAATTGCTGGCTATCACTTTTAAGCTTGTTAACCTATACTGAAATGAGTTCCAAACCATTAAAAACCATTTGTGATGCCTGCTTATTCTGTCTCTAATAATTGTAACAGTGGGGAGGACTTTGTTTTGATTTTTTTCTGTTCACCTCAAATTGCACATCTCAACACTAACTGCAATCAGTGTTTAAAGGCTGATAAGATTAGAAAATAGCTTTGGCATAAAATGTGAGAAAGTTCAAATTGCTTAGGGTAGTCATTAATTCCACTTTCCATATCAAAATGCTCAGTCCAACCAGGAGGAATCTGAAATGAGCCAGTTCAGTATTTGTTACTGGCTTGAAGCTGTGATCACCAGGCATAGAGTGAAACACTTCCCCATGTGGCTTTTGTAGGCTGTGTGTTATGTTATATTATTTTACCTAAAAAACACTGAATACTCCATATTTACATGGAAAGTTGGTTTTAAGCTCTTTTCATTTATGATGCATGTTTTGAACAAGTGTTTTAAAGTAGAGCTAAGGAGAAAGTTCTGTTATTTATTTTTTTGGTTAAACTTTAAAGACTAATTGTTATAAACAAAAAAAGTCCTAAGAATTGAAAACCACTTTAGCAGAAATATCACAACTCACAGATAATCCCAAAATTTATACAACCCTTTTCCAGACTAAAATTTTCATCCAAGCTACTAAGAAACTTTACCAGTTAGAATTTTACCTCACATTTCCCCTGGTCTCCTTTTAGTAATGAAAAGTAGCTGGCGGCTGAGAATTCCATAGTTAATCTGATTATTAGTCTCACTAGTTTCATGAACTTTTAATTTTTTTTCATATTCTGCATTTTTAGATCCCATCTTTGTGTTCATTATTTTTTTCATCGCTTAGTTTACTCCGCAAATAGGGTTTCTGGTGACTCTTCACCTGATACATGTTTGTGTAGTTCTGTTTTAACAGTACTTGGGTGGGTTGCTTATCCTCAAACAAGACATTTTCATTACTGAATGTCTGTATTTTTGGACATCATAAAGCAAATTTGGCCTCAAATTTTAAATATATTACTGTGTGTTGTCAAATTAATTATCCTTCAACCTGAGTTATTGTTGGTGTTGTAGTAGTAGTAGTATGTAAATGTTTTTAGTGTTTTGATGTGCATATTCCCCTTCTGTCTAAATGTGGTGATAATGATTAGTATTGTCACAACATAGCCTCTTTTTCTTTATGTACTAACCAGCATGGCTCATTACTAAGGGTTGTTTCTAAAAAAATTTTTTAGGTTTGTGGGAGTTTTTTTTTTTTTAAGTTAAAAAGCTATAATGTTTTATTTATTAAAAGTATATATATGTATATACTGGAACAAGTGTGTGTGTGTATATACACACACACACACATACACACTTGTTCCAGTATATACATACTTGTGTATACTTCTATGTACAGAGTATCAGAATGAACCAGGACTAATTTCATAGTGAATTGAATGTTATTTTTAGCCATACAATGAATATTAATGCACATATACTGCTTTAAGTTGTTGCTTATTTGTACACTGAACATCTTTCATATTTTTATGCTTACCAAACTGAATTTGTAGATTGGATTAATTGAAACAATCTTTCAATTAAATGATCCTTGGGAGCCAATCAGTTGTTTTTCCCTGTCAGTTTAGTGTCACTTCTTGGTGACTACCAGTAAACTGAATTTTGTGATTCACTCCTATTGACTTTTTCTAAGCAATCTTTGGCCATTACTGTCTTGTTAAAATAAGACAGGGTGGTAAATATATGAATATTTACTTTTAGATAGTTTTAATTTTTAATACATTTGCTGTCCACATGAGCATTTGCTGTCAGTTTCCTATAAATTATGTGTTCTCCAGAAAGAAGACAGAGTACGTTTCCAGCTACCCAGTGATTCTTTAGAAATTACTTTAATACAAGTAATTGCATATTTTACCTTATTGTTAGATTAGGTTTCCTTTTTCAGAATAGTGATGAAAGGAAGAAGGTCACTTGAAATATTCCATGAAATTCAGTGAACAATTAACATGGTATATGGAGCACTCTTATGCCCTAGTAAATTTAAGAGTGATGTCTTTAAAAATAAAACTGTCAACTTAAAAAGTAATAATAACCTTGTTTTACAAACAAGGGTTTTTCCTAGAGAGCTGTGTGTAAATTTGTTTTTAAAGAAAACCTGTAATTAATGCATTTATTTATACATGGAATAAACAGCTATCCTGTAACATATTCGTTTTGTTTATTTAGGTTCTTACTTACAACATTACCCTAAAGCTAGACATACCTGTTAGGTTAGAGAGATAAGGCGAAGACACAACATCCTGGAAACCTTTATTGGTGTTTCACTTTAGCTGTTTTTTTAAAAAAAGTCTTTCCTTAGAATTCAAAAATTTCATTGCGTGAAAGTGATGGTAAATTTAAATCTTACCCAAACAATATAACATTAGGATTAAAGCAAATGTATTTGTTTTTTAATAAAATTAACCAGCTGGCTAAACACAACTCAGCTTTAGGTTTGCTCCTGGGAAATGAACTTGAAGAAGGTTCTGCAGGTTTTTGTTTTGTTTTTTGTTTTTTTGTTGTTTCATTTGCAGACTGTTCTTTGCATACTTATGTTTGTGGTCTTTGTAACTGACTTCTGCTTTTTGTTTGTTTCCTTTTCTTTATCTGTTTTACTTCCCCCATTCTGTGTTGTTGCTGCCAGTTTCTATTGCTCCACCCCCTCCCCCTATGCCTCAGTTGACTCCACAGATACCTCTCACAGGCTTCGTGGCCAGGGTGCAGGAAAACAGTAAGTTTGGAAAAACCGAGCTATCCAAGAGTAGAGGCTGTCTCCTTATAGCATGCATGGCTGATGAGTCATCATTTTCCTTACTTTTATTGAGAAGCTAATCTTATCTTGAAAAGGGGTGCAGATATGTTATTGAAACTGAAGAGCACGATCTTCAGTTTCTCCTCTGTGTGCATGATTACTGACTCAGATGACTTTCAAAACTGCAGTTTCCTTATGTATTTACATGCTCTAAAACATGAAATCTGATCTTTGCAGATTCTTAAGGAAAGAGTAATCAAACCCCAAAATTCAAATTGTGTGGAAACTACTAGCTTTCAATAGTTATTAGGGGAACTGAGTTCTCATCAAGATGTATAGGTAGTTACACTGTGAGATTAAATTTATCATGCAGTTGGGACGGGTGTTTTGTTTTGTTTTTCATTGTTTTTGTTTTCCTCCTTTGGTTACAAAACATTTTTGGAGAAAACTTTGTAGCCTCAGGTTTTTATACGTAAATCGTTTTGAACCTATATTAAGATTTGTTGTTAGGATAAAAATGAATCTGCAAGAATAAGTAAATTACATCCATGCTCTCCGTTAAGAGTGATAATCAGTGTAGAGTCCTCTTCATGTTTTGGCTATGTGCGGGCCCATGGATGATTTCTGAACATGCAAATCTGTCACCTTTCTTAGGTCTTCTCTGAAGGTCAGGTTTACTGACTTCTGGGAATTCTTTTGAATATATGGATTTAATTAGGATAGAGTCATTTTTATATTACTACCTGAGTACTTTGACATTCTGGGAGATATATAATCCTAATTACATGATCATAGTGAGTGTTATTTGGCAAAATGAAAAATACCCCTATTACTGAATTGTATTATGCCAAAATAGCTGTGGAGATTAAGATGGTAAGGTGGTCCAGTACTAATTCACTTCATTTGGGATCACCACCATGCAAATAAATCTCAGAATGGTTTGAACATATGTGTAACTCATATGACCAGCCCATCCTCCAGGAGAAAACATTGTGGCAAATTCCACTGTGCAGCTTTTGCTGACCCTATTGTGTTATTCTCCACATTTCCTCCCTTCCTCCAGTCAAGTATTTGTTTATTCAGTGTTATGTCCTAGGCTCTGGGAGGAATACACAGTCTAAGACAAAGTCCCTACCTTTAAGAAATTGGTGATTTAATGGGCTTTTAAAACAGTTTCAAAATGTTGAAACTTCTGAGCATAAACCAACCTTATCGTTTACATTTGGTTGGAAACTCTAATGTGTTTAAACATGTAAAAATAAGTGAATCTTCCTTTTAAAAATAAGTGAACAAAGGTAAATCGCTGGTCCTTAATGCTCTAAGAGTTTAAAAATTAAGTCTGCAAGAGTTTAAAAACTAAGCCAATTCAACTTTTGAAGTGCCTTAGAGCCAAGAATTTTTAGGACATATTTTAAAATGGCCATAATAAACATCCATTTAGTGAGTCCAAAGCTCATTGATTAGGTTTTTGGTAATAACCCCTTTTTTATAGAAATTCAGTGTTAACGTACATGCATGGTCTTGCTAAAGAGGCCCACGGTACTAGTTTAGTTCTTTTTCCCAAACATATGAACTTGAGTCAGTAATTCTCCTTGTGCTGCAGAATGCCCAACTTTATTTGGCATCTGTTTTCTTTGAAAGCATGTTAGGAAGATTGTTGATAAATTGTGTATCAATATCTTAAATGTTTTATGAATTACAGATTTTCTGTGTTCGTTCTTCATAAACGTTCACTTATGGCACTCAAATTGGTGATAATGAATGCACGTAGCAGTTAACCTATTAATAAATGTGTTTCAGTTTAAGACATGAGCCTCTAAAAAAAAGCAGTGTGTTTACATCTGTTTATGATTAACATCTGAAAGCGTTTGAACAATCATGCGTGGTGCTAGACAGAGTGTTATGCACAGAGAATTAGACTGACTGGACTCTTGCCCCAGTGTATGTAATTTGAAGATAAGCCAGTGTAGATTAACAGCAGTTGGACATAGTAAACTAGTAAATTATGTATAAATCAAGAGTAAATGTACTTTAAGAATTCAGGCAAACATATATAACTTATACATTAAGCCATATTAAGGACATGAGCTATGGCTCTTTAATGTCAGAATGGATTCACATGCATTTTCTTCTCCTCAATAATATTTGCAAGTTTTATGGAGAAGGGATGGGCAGAAATAAAATGAATCCTACCATTTGGAGGAAAAATAAATTGTACACCTGTTTGAGAGCTATCCGAATGAGCATCAGCACACAGGATTGGTTTCCTAATAGTCTTTTTCATCCCCCAACAGGATAAAATAGAAATCACAGAATTAAATTGGTTATCAAGTAGGGCTATTATCTGCTTATGTTTTAAATATGGATTCCTTGGTTATATTCTCAGCGCATTATTCCAAATAGGGTGTAGAAAACTTTAAGACTATATTACAAATAGATGATGACCATTTTCTTTGATCACATAAATAGCCCCAGAAATCGGCATTTGAATTAGTATGTTGGTATTCTGAATTTCTCCACTGCAGATATTATATAATTCCTGTATCAATTTATATCAGAGCATTTTCATATGTCTTTAACTTTTAAAGAAATTTGTCAATTAGAAACTTAAGAATTAGTTGTGCTCCAGCTCTGAATTCCTTAATATTGGGAGCATTTGTTACCTGGTATCATATATTTCATTGAACACAGTTCTAGCCTGACATTTTCCTGTTTCACTACTGTTTACACCTTTGATTATTTAAATCACACACATACACATTCCACAACCATCTAGAATTTGAGGTATGAGTCATTTTTATTGTTTTGCATGATTTGAGTTCCTTTCTTTCTTTCTTTTTTTAAACATCTTCCTGCAGTACTTTATTTTTAAAATCTTTATTGTGGATGTATTCTTAGAAAATTGGATCTTTAGGATCTAGTCTTTCCCTCATCCCATTCTTAGTTTTACTAGCAATAATGTAAAAATCTTAGCTTGCTTTCTACATTTAAGAAGTTGATTATCTTAAAAAAAAAGTTGATTATGAATACAAACATTTTTGAAAATATTCAGTGAGTTTTTTTTACTAGCTTGGAATTCTTTAATTTTAAATTTATCTTCCCTTGTTAAAATTTAAATAAAATAATAGAAAAACGTACACATAGAAGCAGACCTAATACCACCAGCTTTTTTTTTTTCTTCCTCCAAAAAAACAAAAAATAAACACGTATCCACCCACTGGAGACTTATTTCTTTGGAACTAAAGGTAACTAAAAGCCAAAATCAGGGACATGAATGTGCACAATAAATGATTATCAAACCATTAATGTTATTCATAACGTTTACTATAGTCCAGATGACAAATGTGATGTAAGGCTTATTTAGGGAGATATGCTAACTAAAGGGTGACATTTGTTCTGATCTGAGCCTTGGAATAAGGGAAGTTCTTTATTCCTGTAGTCTTATAAACAGACAGATTGTCTCCTAACCTCTGCATTCGTTAATTTGTAGAACTTCCTAATACCCTTAATTTTTTAGCTCATTTTATTATTGCAAAATTATTCTTAAAAGTAGTAGAAGCTTTAACACACCAAGCTTTTATTTCTAATCATTGCATGTTTTATTATAGTGCATGCTGTATACGAATTAGAGCTTTCTTCAATTCTGTTAACTTACGAGTTTCTGTCTAGTCTGATTTCTGATTCAAATTCAGTATCTGGATGTTTTAGTTGCTGATAGTCCGACCCCACCACCTCCTCCTCCACCAGATGACATTCCCATGTTTGACGACTCTCCACCGCCGCCACCGCCGCCACCAGTGGACTATGAAGATGAGGAGGCCGCAGTAGTCCAGTACAACGATCCATATGCAGATGGGGATCCTGCTTGGGCCCCCAAAAATTACATCGAGAAAGGTAGGTTACAGTCATCGTTGAACTGCTGTAGAGGGTAAGAGCTACTAAGTATAGTATTTTAGAGCCATAAAGAACACCAAGTCCAGCGTTTCTCCACCTTGAGAACAGCTTTACCAGCCAAGATGATTTAGTTCCTGTACATTCCCAATATAAAGTGAGGATTCTTTATTTTCTCTTTATTTTTTAATTAGAGTATAGTTGATTTACAATGTGGTGGTGGTGTTAGTTTCAGGTGTACAGCAGAGTGATTTGATAGCTGTATATATTGCAAAATGAAATAGTTTAAACTTGCCAGCCATTCAGTCTTGTCACAACTACTCAACCCCACTGTTGTAGCATAGAAGCCGTCGTGGGGACTTGCCCGGCCGCCCAGTGGTTAGGACTCGGCGCTTTCACCGCTGAGGGTCCCATTCAGTCCCTGGTTGGGGAACTGAGGTCCCATAAGCCACGCAGTGCAGCCAAACAAAAAGGAAAAAGCAGTCGTAGCACACAAGTGAACGGGCACGGCTGTGCCCCGGCAAAATTTCACGGACAAACAGAGGCACCGGCTTGGATTTGGCCATGGGCCACTGCTTGCAGACTCCTGGTCTAAACCAGAGAGTTTTAGTATTTAGTAGGGTATTTAGTAGGGTTAGAGTCCAAGCCTTCAATAGTCACCTTTGTAAATCACAAGATGACTAAAACCTGGTTTAATAGGAGTTCAGTTGAATATGTTAACCCAGCAGTATGACATGACTGTTCCAGAAGTCAGATTCTTAGGGTACATTAGCTGAACTTCAACCTAATATGTACAAACCTGATAATATTCACTTATATTAGACCAGTATTATGTTTAATTTTGAGTACCATATTTCAGGATCTTGCAAACAAGAATGCCTTCAGAGGAGGATATTCAGGAGGCTGAAATATCTAGAAAGTACATCTATAAAAAGAAACAGCTGAAAGCACTGTTTTTAAGTTGAGGAAAAAGATTTCAGAGGGACTAGACAGCTATTTTCAAATTTTTATCATGTAGATAGATGTAGATAAGAATATTAGATTTCTATTTCCAAAGAACCCTACGGTAAGTACATACAGAAGGGAGAGTTTAGATCTTTATGTGGAGTTAGGGTCCTGGAGACAGAATGGACATTGAATGGTTAAATACTCAGCAGTGAGAGTTATTAAATGAGAGAATATATGCACTGGGGGAGGGGAAGTTAGGTGGGACTAGGTTTCATTTACAGAGGGGATTTGGAAAATAGAAACAATTAATTTGACACAGTGTTTTTATCAGCTCTTTGTACAAGTAGAACTAAGAACCCGAGGAAATAATATTTTCATTTTGCTGAATGACTTTGAGGGTATCAGGTGTTGTCATGATCAGTTTAAAAGTCATCTATACCACTCAAAATGTGACTCTGAATACAAAGAAAATGTTTCTCCCTAGCAGTCACTCGGTTTTCTTGGGTGGTTATTTAGCCAAAATATCAGGATAATAATTTAACATTATTTATTCTGTATGTTTTGGTGTTTTTAAGACTGGTATGTTAAGTGAGCTTGTGATCACAATACTGTGATTCTGCTACAGGATTAAAATGGAGAATGGACTTGTTGAATTTACTTCATATACTGTTTTGTAAAGGGGAAAAAAGATTGCCTGTTTCAGTTTAGCAAATGATGCTGTGGATCAGTACTTCACGTCTCTTCCTTATTATAATTCACTGGTTCAGGATAATTATGGGGCAAAGCCACCTTTCTTAAGGGAAAAATGAGTTCTAGAAGATCTTAAATGTCTTAAAAACACTCTATTTTAAGAAAAACACTACCTGAGGTAAGTTAATGAAAAAAAATTTGTATGACATACTGTTTCACATATACTAGAAAATTACATATTTCAGAATTATGTTGTAAAGACAGAGGAAGGAATAATTAAATTCATAAACCAATAGTTTGGAAAGCTGGTAGTTGTTTGATGCCTTTCCTTTCCACAACACTGTTTGCAAAGGAAGTGGATATTTTGAACTCAGCATAATCACAGAATTGCCAAATGGTTCTCTAAGTCTTAATTAATGAGTCTTTACTCACCTATTTCCCCTTTAAAAATAGAAATTCTTGTTGACCTTTAAGGGGGGTGTGTGTGTGTGTGTATGTATATTTAAATCTAGGTACAGCCCCATAAACTACGTGAATATTCTCCTGCGATGGGCAGGATATTTACCTCCCAGTATATGTATATTTTTAAATTAGATGGTTGTTACCTGGTTTACTGATTGGCTATGCAGCTTTGCTCACTAGTTATTTTGAAAAATGGTGCTTTGCATGTGGTTGGCACTTAGTAGATATTTGAACGAATGAATTGAAACATCTAATAAATCCTAAAATTCAGAGATCTTTCCTACATAGGTTGGTAGAAACTCTTGACTTCTCTAATTTAGTTGTCAGTTTGGCCCGAAGATCAAGCTAGTGATTTAGTAGCCATGGTTGGCTACTTGACCTACCTGGATATATAGATTTAGGAATTAAGACTTTTCATTAAAATAGTTGGGTTGGCTATACTGTTAATTGGCATTACATTTTAAAATTCGATTAAATGTTGGATATAGTGCACTGACATGGTATTTCAACTCTTTTCTCCATAGTTGTGGCAATATATGATTATACAAAAGACAAGGATGATGAGCTATCATTTATGGAGGGTGCAATCATCTATGTAATAAAGAAGAACGATGATGGCTGGTATGAAGGAGTCTGCAATCGAGTGACTGGTCTGTTCCCTGGGAACTATGTTGAATCGATCATGCACTATACTGATTAAATTTTTGCTTTTGAAGTAGGTTCTTATTATCACTCAGTCATACTGTGGGACTATTACGATTAACAGGATTGTCTTTAAATGTTTTAAAATGTGCCCGTATGTTCAGGACATGCTGTTTTATTGGTATAATTGAATGTCTACCTGTAAGCATAAATCTGAGGCAGTTGGTGTATTGCTAAACAGCAATCTATACAAGAGGCTGTCTGTCACTGATTGTGCTTATATACTTACTTACACATTGTTAACTTCATGACCAGCCTAAATATTCTGGGGGTGTGGGGTATAATATTTCACAAATCATGACTCAGATTGTGCCATTACATGTTTCAGTGCAGCATGGTTTCTAACGCTCTGTCAGACTAATATTAAAATCAGAAAACTTAAATGCTGGTGCTGGTCATACTTTTTGTTTAGACTCTCTCATTCTTGAAATATACTGTTTGTTTAAAGCATGCATACAAATTTATGTATTGAAATATACTTAACAAAATCCAAGATGCTTCCAATTTGTGTAATACTTACTTGGAGTACTCGTACTTAGGTCTCTTGAAATGAATTGAGTCTCTAAGATCTCCATGTGAAACAAAGACAATTGGGTTACCTGTAGTCTTGTCATTTGTACCGAAGTTTTTTAATGAGTGAATTTGCATTATAAATTTTGTCCATTCATAAATACGTAAGTGAACCAAAGGTTTTTGTCCTTTCCTTCACTGGTTTGCTTTAAAAAAAAAATAAAAGATACTGAATTATGGTTCTATTTTCTCAATATATTAACTTGGAAAAAAAATTTTAGCCTTCTCTCAACCTATCCCAACAGCAGTGGCTGATTTTTGTAGAATTTAAAATCTGAGATGGTTATTTACAAGTCAGTCTACTGAATTCCTTTTCTAGAGTAACTTTTTCAAAGCTAAGAAAATGTGTCGAAGTGCACATGCTGTAGGTAAAATTCTTAAGGATTGCTCTATCAGTCAGTCCTTTGGTTTTCCAGTGGACTGTGATATACTGGTTCAATGAAAGGAAATAATTATCTTTTACATATTTTTTTGGTAGAAGTGGATGCGATTGATTTTTGAATATGCACTATTTAACCCATTACCTGGCACTAGCAACATAAAAAGATTTTAAAAATAAAATAATTGGGGAAAAAAGGTGCACCATGTATTAATCATTGAACAGGGATATACCTGACCAACAGATTTGTATTATCTTTTGACATAACTGAAATGCAACACGTGCACTTTGTGTGTCTCCTCTTAACTTAAGGGAGGGTTAGAGGGATGTTTTCTCTTCTTATCGTGTGTATAATTCCATACTGCCTAGGATATTAAAGTAGAGCACTCAGTTGTGGGTTTCTGTGTATTGAGGATTTGTTTGGATTTCAAATTACTGTTAGGTACTGGGCATTACAGATAACAGCATAGTAAATGGTAAGACTAGTGCAAAACGTTTATTTCTGAAAATTAAAGACCATTATTGTTACCAAATCAATGTGACTGTTGAATATGCATTTTGCCTTTGTTAATTTTAAACATGATTTCAGTATCACTATTGATCAGTTACCTTCTTCAGCTTTTAGAGTGGACTGTTCTCTTAATTTTGTATATAACCTGTTGTCTAAATTTTATGTACAGTCTTTTATAATAAACCATTCTCCTATATGAAATTTTGGATACTGTTAAAATCTAACTAATGTGGATTGAAATGTAGACTTCACAGTTTTATGATCTTTACTCCTATGGTGAAACAAGATAAACCATTTGAATTTTAACATTGATTATTTATTTGTGTAATGGCTTCACATGTGGATATTAACCGTGTAAACAATACCACATCTAACCATCAAGTACCGCGATTAGAGTTTACAAGACTAGAATGACAGATTCAGATGGTTTAATTACATTTAAAAAGTTTTCTGAAAAACTTTGCCAATAAAAAAAAGTCCCATTAATAAGGTGGAAATGATTTTTTTAAATGATTTTTTGGTTACCTGCACATGAAGCAAAGTATACTCCACAAAATTCTTTAGGCACAGTCTGGTAAAATAGCTGCCAGGAATAACAGAAAGAGTTGTCATTTATCTCTTGTGAGCACAATTTCTGAAAGTTGTATGAGGGCGTCTCTTTCTGGGGATGGTCGAAGTTTACTGATCTCTCTCACTGCTTCACGGCAGTACCGCTGGGCGAGGTAGGTTGTCTGCTGCACACCATCGCTCTGCGGGACACGGGACAAAATACAACAGAACAGATGCATGTCACCCACTGGGGTCAGCTCTTAAAATTCCTGCTATATGAATTAAAACATACTTTTGAGATCCGGTAGTGAAGAGCCGAACTGTGTTTCAAATGTTGTCTCTCCAACTCAGAGCTTCCTCCGCCCACTTCCTTTAGGGCCCCTTTCTTAGACGGAAGCACGTTTTTATTCTATTAGCATGCCAAGCAGTGAACTCATTAATATCAAGTAACCTTCTGTTTCCCCCTATTTTTCATTTAAGCATTAGAGTTTTTAAAAAGTTCTACATATATTAAAATCTATACAGTAAAATTCCAAGTGAAAGTTAACACACATACATGATAAATAAAAGTACAGAAGAGCTTACGATGAAAAGCAACAGTTCCCTTCTTCCAAAGGCACCAGTTTTATCTGTTGGTTTTAATGTTTCAATTCGTAATTTTAGTTGTTATCTATTGCCTTTCTGCTAAGAAAGACAAGGATTTAGCCCACCCATACTGTCTCCTAATTTGACCACTGCCTGCTGTCTTTAGTTCTAATACAGATTACTGTTGTCACATCATGTGGCATCGACTTCTGGCTTCATCTTTAAGATGAGGACACCAGTGCTCCTTCTCTTTCCTCTGTCTTTACACTAGAGACTTGCATTCCATTCTGTACCCATGTTTTTATGTTGGTTCTTTCTTTCTAAAAGCTAAACACTAATAAAATAATTACATTTACTATTTCCATTATGTCAAAATATTTACTGCAGAATCTAGACATGTACTGTGATTTTATTTCCTTCTCCATGGTTCCCTCTGTCATTCAAAACAGAATATTTGTAGCATCATGGTTGAGAGACCTCTGGTTTTCTGAACCAAGTTACACAAAATATGACTCAAAATACGACACGTTTTAGTGTGCTTCGCCTTACTGTACGGAAGCTCACTTCTGAATATAATTGCCTCCTTCTCTTCGTTACTTAGACTGACTGCTTTGTAGCTCTGCCGTACAGCTGCCATCACAGGATGACTTTTCATTGAACTCTGGTTCATTCCACTGGTTTCAGTACCCATGTCTTTCTCTTTTTGGTGTTTCCACGGTTCTGTTGCACATCAGCAAATAACTTACCCAGAATCTGTGTACTGGAAGTCAACTTTTGCGTTCTCTGTATGACAGTGACATTGGCCTTCCTACTTAGTGGATGGTTTACTGGATACAGATTCTAGGTTGAAAGCGTTTCCTCATTTGGACGGCCTTGCTCACTGCCCTCTAGAGTCCAGGGTTTCGCTGCACCCTGAGCCAGTACTGAACTTTTCCTTTTGTAGGTGACCACCTTTTTTTCTGATTTTTGTTTTTCGAGTCTCTTCCTGAAATATTTGTCGCATGATTGTACTGATCCTGTTAAGAGCCTTTCGCATTTTCTTCTACTGCTGTTTTCATTTTGAAGACTTCCTCAATGTCACATTCCAATACTTCTTCGGAGTTGGCTTTTCACATTCATTTAAAATTTCTTAGAGCTCGTTCTTTATTCACTGTTTTTTAGAAAATATTATCCTGTTCTTGTTTCATGAATGCAGTATTTTTGAATCCCCCTATTATTTTTCCTGAGTCTGTTTAACTTGGTCTCACTCTTTCATTCAGTGAGCTTTAATCAACTATTTAGCAATCCTACTAAATAAACCCGACTTGTCCATTCATATTTAGTGAGGGAATAGGGGCTAGGAGCCCTGCGGCTGAACAGGCAGCTGGAGTTCACAGGTCTTTGGAACATTCCTGTGGACTTGTTGCCTAAATGCACTTCTGCCCAGGCTTGCTGGAACTTCAGCGTGTGGTATAAGAGCCACAGTTAATTTCCCTCTTTTCAGTCCCACTTCTCACTTTAGCCATCAGTAACATCATTATTTCTGAAGCCATGACCACTCCCAGGTATACTGCCTTCTTTATCAGCTCCCGCTGCCCTCACACTGAGTTTTTAATAGTACAGCCAAACTACCCTCTCAAAAGGTGGTAGCCATAGCACATTATGATTAACCATATAGAGAGTTAAGGGGTTTTGCTTTGTGGAAATTTAAAAAATCTGAAAGGTAATTACTTGGAATTCTTTCAAGTATTTGACTAACGACAGATCTCAGACTACGACTGCTTACTAAAAATTGCTCACTCTCTCTCATTCATGAGACCTATTGGCCCCAAACAGCTCATTCACAAAATACAGTGATCCAAACTGAAAATGTGCAAAAAGATCTGGCTTCCACAGAAAAGTTCTGAGGATATGTGGTGCTATATCTGAAATAAGCTTATAGCCCCTGAAGGTTAAAGTTTAATTTGCTATGTTGGTTTAAAATTTTTTCAAAGGTACCGTTTCTTTATTCGCACATTTACTGCAGTTATGTAGGATGGACGAGAAAAGCCCAGTTTCCTAAGGCTCGGACAGGAGGGGAGTCTGGTGACGGGAGGGCAGCAGAGCTGCTGTGGTGGACGCGGGGGAGACTGGCTGCAAACCAATAGGCCTTACCCCTGACTGCACGTGGGAACCCCTTAGAGCTTCCCCAAAATGTTAGCGTCCAAGCCCCACCCAAGGCCAATTACATTAGAATGGGAAGACTTCTAGAAGAAAAATGCATAATATAACTTTTTCCTTCTCAGTTTTTGCCAAATCAAGAATTGATCAAACTTGGTCTGTGTCAAAAATTCGTGACGTTATTTGTTTAAAGAACTGTTCTGCCACACTGTACCTGCTGTTGCCTTCTTTTTGAAATCCTCTCACCTGTAATACATATTGTCTCGCTCTGTCCACATCTCCTGGTGAACTGAACCGTCTCATTATCATAGCATTCATTTCTGGGAACTAACCAGAAAGAAAGAAAATCTATTTAATGCTCTTGGAAGAAATCAAATGTTCAAACACTAGTAGGTAAAAACAGGTAAAAAGATCCGCAAAAGTGAGTAAATGTTTAAGTGATGGGGGCGGGGGAGCAGTAAATAGCGATTAAAAGCAGCAGAGCTAAGAGGACGCCCGTTTCCGGGTCCAGGGACGAGCTGGTGCACAAGAGGGGCAGCCGCTGATCCATGTTCCCTTCACTGTTCTGTTGTATCCCTGATCCAGGGCCGAGTCAGAGAGGAGGCGCAAGCGTTCACCTCTAAAATCTCCTTACTGGCTTCTCTTATGGCTCTCAGCTTTAGGGGCCTACCGGGCCTCTCCCCCGAGGTTTCTAATTAAGTAGCACTGGGGCCCGAGTGTGCACTTCTAACATGTCCCCAGATGCTTCTGGTCCTGCTGGTCTCTGCTGACAAATTAGAACCACTGGCCTAAGAAGGTGGACAATCTGCTTTTAGTTTGAAACTGAGTGACAACCGAAGGCTACTGAGGTCTTTGAGCAGAGGGAATCACAGGCAGAGCTCCGCGAGGCGGCCCGTGGAGGGGACAAGGGCAGCGTGGCTCGACACCACCGGCCCTGGAGTCATGTGACCCTGCGTCATAGTTTGAAAAACTTCAGTCATTTCTAATATGCAGCCAAGGTTGAGAACCATCGAATTAGAGACAGAGGTAGAAGCAGCAGCCGGGTTACTGGAGTAAATTCTAAAGACCAGTGGTAAGCTGATGGCAATAAGAGGAAAATAGAAGACAGGTACAAGACGCATTGAAGACAAAATCTATACTCTACAGTACTTGGCAGCAAGGTAGGAGAACTGTCACCATGATCGGACTTGGGAAGCCAGGACACCAAACCACTTCACTGTCTAGCCTTGAGCTCTAGTCCTGGTGCTGCCACAGCTGAGCCCCTCAGCCTGCTCATCTGTGTTAGGAAGGGGCTGAGCTACCTGATCAGAAATCTCTTAGTTCTACCAGCTTACGGGTCCATGAAATAAGAGGTTAAGAGGGGTCTGGTTCTGGCTGCGGCAGTGTTCACAGCAGCTGCCAGCGCTTCCCTGGCAGTGAGCCCGAGGGATGAAAGCAATTGTGGTCCTATAGCCACCGCCTCGGTATTAGTAATCCTAGAAGGAAAAATAGGGCAGAGAGAGAAAAGTCTCAACTAGATGATGGCAAATGAGGAATTAAGAATGTTCCTTTCAGAGCAAAGTACGTGTCCAAACAAAGCAGAGGCTGCTAGTAACATCCTTATGAAATTTACAGAGCCGGCAACTGGTCAGTTCTTAAAACCAGTAATTAGTTTTAGGTACTGGCCTTTTAAGAATAAAAACTGAAGTTTCATAGGAAACAAATCAGGAAAGCTCAAATCAGTTTTACTGGTCAAAAGTCAAATCAAGTAGGCATTGGTCTTAGTTTCTTAATACCACATTTCAAAATTGGATTTCTATAAGGCTGTATGTATATCCTCAAAGCTAATGTGATACTGTCCTGGGCATCTGGTAAAATTACCATTTTTAGGGTAGGTGAGCTTTTTCTGCAGCACCAACAACAATGGTAAAATGTGCTGACTGGGTGGT